CCTTTGTTCCTTAGGTCCGCCACTGCCTGTAGCCAATCTGTTGCAAGCACCCTTTTGGTATTCTGACCCTCTGCATTGGTGGTTAATGTTCCCCCTATATTGTTGGTTACTGGCCCCCTTCATTGATGGCCGCTGTGCTCTCTTCATAGGTGGTTACTGTGCCCCTTCATTGGTGGTTACTGTGCCCCCTTCATGGGTAATTACCGTGCCCCCTTCATTGATGGTTAGTGTGCCCCCTTCATGGGTAATTACTGTGCCCTCTTCATGGGTAATTACCGTGCCCCCTTCATTGGTGGTTAGTGTGCCCCCTTCATGGGTAATTACTGTGCCCCCTTTATTGGTGGTTACTGTGCCCTCGTCATGGGTAATTACTGTATCCCATTCAGTGGTGATTATTGTGCCCCATTTTTGGAGAGAGTTTACAGATCCTCATGTTGGTGGTGGTCAGTTGAAGCTTTTCTGTTTACTCACCTTGCAGCACTTCATTCCCCAGTGAAAGTCTATGGGTCAGGTCTCTACAAGGACGATCAAGCTGTTGTGGTAATAGAAATATTCTGACAATGTCAGCTGCGTAGCTCCCTTCAGTAGTTAATAACCTGAAACCAGCACGTAGATGAGGAGCTCTGACTTCACTTTCTGCACCCTTGTTCCAGGTCCAGCTCCTAAAGACACAAAATCCGGTTGTTACATCACTAGTGTGACGGACCGCCTGGTATTCCGACTAGGTACCTCCGTCAGAGATCAGCTTCGTCTCAGCTGGAACCTGAATTCAAGTGTCCTCAGCCCAAACCTGCCTAATTATTGGACAAAACCAATATATTAGGATAGAAAACTAAACTCCTCAAACATCAAACAACACCAATGTTGAAGTGGAAACCAAGAACTGACTTTATTGAAAACCAGCACAGTATATATACAGTTCTGGAAGTCTAAAAACATAAGACAATCAAATATCAAGCAAACAAACCCCTCCCCGATGCCATAATGAAAGAATAGGGGGAGGGAAACAAAGAGGATGGAATTATCTCCTGACTGTCTAGTGTAGGTTAATCTACTCATCTCTACCTACAGTCAGCTATGGTAATCCCATCATTAATACAATGAGGCAAATGGACAAACAGAGTATTCATTGGGACTCTCAGTCCAGAGTTAACCCTTTTTGTGTTGCTCGATTCACACCCTGTACCTTTAATTGGCAATGGGAAAGATGCGACATATAAACTCCACACATACATCAGGCTTATTAGTTCCAAGGGGTACACGTACATAGCAGTCCTCGGAGTTCCAGGAACAGTCCCTCAGGTCTTAGTTCCATGTAACCCCAAGAGGCCTGAGGGGGGGTCTCCATATTCCTAGGTCCAAAGTCAGTAGAAAGGAGGCTAGCCCTCAGGCTCCTCCAGCAGCCCCAGTCACGGTTCAGTCCGTCACAACTAGTACATCCCCGCAGGACATACTGGCGATGTAGCGGCCAGCAAGGGGCACCTACCACACCCAGTTGTGCCATCGGTGGAGATCCCAGTGGTAGCTGTATCTCTGTTGCCAGCACATTATACCTGCAGCAGATTTTGCGTTTTGTTTTATTAGAGACAGGGGCTCTTTAAGGTTTGATCAGAATGTTGCCAGAACCTTGATTTTATTTGGACTCCAACCCTGACTGTCAACAGATGTCAACATACATCTGGAGCTCAATGAACTTTGGGTATGAAAGTCCATTAATAAACACTGCGGAACGAGTTTTCGCAAGCATGGGGTATAAAACTGGAGGGGACGAAACCTGAATGGGGCTTTCTAATATGATGGACATGGGGGGAAGAATCGAAAAGTGTTCCATGGTGGGCTACACCTCCAACGTTCCTTTCCTTCACGTTCTGTAGACCATGCCCCATTGGGGACTCATGGTACCAAGGTTGAGAGAGTTTTCTGAAATCCACTCATTCGACCTAAAATCCCGCCCCGATTTTGAGAGGGGGAGGGGGCACAGCAAAGGCCCGGCTACGCCCTCTCGCCCCTGTTGCCATGGCGAGCACAGGGCGCCATTGGCAACAGGGGGGCCAGGCGACCAACACAGCCGTGGCTCGGCAGGGAGAAGAGGAGCGGCACCGGCTCCCACTTTTCCTCGGATCCCTGATGCTCTCCCCCACCTGTACGTGTCTGTGTCCTCAATCTCTTTTTCTATTTCAAAGGGAAATGTCAGGGGTCTGTTTAGACCCCTGATATTTAGATAAAATGAACGGAAACTAAAAAAATTTTAAATAGTTTCATCAAACAAAACAAACTTTATGCTATTTTGTATTTGGCCACCAGCGCATTCTGTGCATGTGCTCCGCCATCCTGGACATCCTGGCACATGACATAACATACCGCACAGGTCTGTTGTTTTCTGTTCTTGCCTCGGGCGCAAAATGAACTAGCTACGGCTCTGGTCACACGGGACATCATAGTCTCCAGAAGCCGTCCTTCTACTAAATTGGAGGAGGAGGAAGAGGGGAGTGTGTGTGTGTGTGTGTGTGTGTGCGTGTGCGTGCGTGTGTGTGTTTGTGTGTGGGGGGGGTCTTGCCTTGCTGTTCCTGTATGTTTGTGGATACTAGCACAGACAAGGGTGGCTCCGTAGGACTCTGCATGGGAAAGGAGCCACCCTAAAACAGGATATCAGGGCCAGTGCTAAGGGGGCTCAGCTAATTCTGCAGGAAACCAAAACTTTTAAGCAGGAAGAAGCTGCATCCGTTGTAAGTGATTTAATCAGCATTTAAAATCCACTAACAAAACTGCATTCCTATCAGACCCGATATAGATTCCTTTGGTTATCATTTCTTGTGAGTCCATTCAAGTCCTCATTTTATTTAGTCCTGATGAAGAGAAGTGTTGTTGCCCCAAAAGGCATTGGCTGTTTTTGGGGGGGTCAAATTTAAAGGAATGAAAGCATCTTAGATTTGGTTGGGTATCCATTTATGAGTATATACATATAACACTAAAGCTGAGGCTCCCAGACCCAAATGGCATTCGGGAGCTCCAGAAAGCAACACAGGTCTGGGAGCCATATACATATATTTCTAAAACTGAGGCTCCCAGACCCCAATGCAATTGGGAAATTCGGATACTGAATGCCATTCGGGTCTGGGAGCCTCAGCTTTAGTAATATATGTATAGGGCTCCCAGACCCGAATGGCATTCAGGAGCTCCCCAATGCAATTTGGAAATTTGGATCCAGAACGCCTGTTGGGACTAGGAGATTCAGCTTTAGTATTAAAGGAGAACTATGGGGTCAGTGTTTTTCCCCATAGTTCTCCTTAGGGTAACAAACTAGCGTCCTCCCGTTACCCTAAGCTCAGTATACCGCGAGCTACAGCTCGCAGTATACTGAGATGCCGCAGCCGGAGCGGATCCCGACGTAGATGACGGGATCCGCCCAGCTGCGTGAGTGACAGCTGGCTCTGCCTATCTGCCGTCAGTTCTGCCAGTCAGCGCTGGCAGATCGGAGCGGGGAGAGGGGAATCCAGCCCCTCCCCCTGTCACGGCAGAGAGCCGTGACAGGATCGAGAGGTGAGCGAACCTGGTATGTGTTCGCTCACCTCCCGATCTACTGAGCCGACCTGTGACATTCTCATTGTCACAGGTCGGCTAGAACTATGAGGTGAGTGGAAATCACTCATCTCATAGTTCTCCTTTAATATCTGTATATAGTTTTCTGTGGTATTCACAACAAATATTCCTAAACTCATCCGAAACGAAGGAAAATTCAGATTTCGTTTGAATCCGAAACCCGAACCAAATTGAATTTCGAATCCCGAATCCCGAAATAACAAAATATCCTAACCGTGTTTTTCCGCAGCTTACAAGCCCTGCAATTGGCCAGGATTGAATAACAAGATTCACCACCTATAGAATTCAGTGGGATTTACCACAAAATTCGGGTTTGCCAAATTGTGAGCACAATACAAGAGTCTGTTCATGAATTTAGTCTTCAACTCATCTCAACTGATGACACAACACAAAGCCTACCTACACTACCCTATAAGACAACATCTATATATGAAATATATTACACACGCTGTATTGTTTTCTGCAGCCTGGAAAACATTTGTCTCTTCCCATCCAAATCTATTGGAAGTCACCATCTCTAGTGAACTTGAGATGTTCTAAAGCTATAAGATGTTCTGATAATGAGAAATTAAAATGTATGGGTTGGCACATCAATTGTGTTGGCAGCAGCTCCATATTGTTCGAGTTTATCATTCACACCTCGGCATGATGTTATTTGTCTCCTCTCAACAGATGCACTCTGATAATGCCCAGCGTGCTCCGTGCAGACTCTGAGGAAACCATTGTAGTAGATGGACACAATTCAGCATTTGAGGTTGACTACTTAATCCAAGACTTCCCCGTTAAGAGCTTTGCTCTCGCTCGTGGCAAGATCAGCATCAACAGTGGAAACCAATACCTGGGAACGGCCAAAGTAACGGTAAGGAGTTATGGAAATTCCATCTGTTGTTTCTTTTAAACAATACAAACGGGAAAAAACCTCCCAAATTGTTATATACATATATTGTTCCATGACTGAAGCTGTTAGGATCCAGAGCACCCACGGGTGGCGCTGGAGTCGGGCCCTGCAGTTCCTGTGCTCGCCTGCAGGTGTCTCCAGCAGCCAGGAACTGTCAGGAACCAGACCACAACTGGGTGGTGCTGGTACCTGCAGCTCCAGTACTCACCTGCTTGTGTGCCCAGCTGCCAGTGATCATCCCATCACCTGGTGCATCCTGGGAGGGTATATAGGCCCTCCCTGCAGTCAGGACGTCGGCTCAGTATTACGTCGCCTGCCCCTGACTGCTACCTGTAACCCTGCTACCTGTAACCCTGCTACCTGTAACCCTGCTACCTGTTACCCTGCTACCTGTAACCCTGCTTCCTATCTGCAAACCCGTCACTGACCCGGCTTGTTACCTGACCACTCTTCTTTGATCCTGTACCTGTACTTCGATGCCCTCCTGATAATGACCCAGCTTGTTACCTGACCACTCTTCCTGTATCCTGAGCCCTGCTATCTATCTGCAGTCCGTAGCCTTGTTCCCGTTTGCTGTTCCCCCTGGCTGTAGGTGTGTTTGTTCCAACCGTGTTTTTGTTACTTCACTGCTAACCGTTGGGGGTTGATGGGGTTTGTAGTTTTGTTGCTGTGTAACAAATAAACCTTGTGCATAACCTCATCCAGTGTGGTCACACTAATTTGGTCTATCTGCGTAGGTACCTGCATGCGGTGTGGGGACACCCGCGCGCGTTACCCTGACAGAAGCTGAAGTCAGATATCAGATACACACCATTTATTGATGTCAACTTTAGCCTTCCACCCCAACCTAGTAGCCTAAATGTGCCTGTCTTTGACAATTTTGGAGTATGATTCAGTAGATTCTGGTGCTGGAACCTAGGAGCTGATTTCTTTCCATGTAGGAAGGGTCAGAGGCGTATGTACAAAAAATGGCACCCTTGGCGTTCTGTCCAGATCCTGGCAACCAGTAACGTCACTGGTTTCCAGGAGCTGGTTGGGATGATGGCCAGAGTGTCCCAGGTTGCTAAGAGCTGGGTGGGAAGATGTGTAATGGGCATACACTTCTCCTCGCCCAGCTCTTAGTAACCGTGGTCGCTCTGGCTGGCGTCATGCTCAGATCCTGGCAAACAGTGACATTCCTGGTTGCCAGGAGACATTCGGGACGCCGACTAGAGTGTCCTGCCGGCAAACACATCTCCCTACCTGCTCTGGTTGCCAAGAATGGGTAGGGAGATGTGATTGGCCCTTACACACTTCCCCGCCCAGCTCTTAGCAACCAGGGACACTTTGGCCGGTTGCCCACCCAGCTCCCAGCAACCAGTGGCGTCACTGGTTACCAGGAGTTGGGCAGGACACAGGCCAGAGTGTCCCTGGTTGCTAAGAGCTGGGCGGTGAGATGTGTATTGGAGAGAGGTGGGGAGAGCAGTCAGCTATCTCCATGAATCGGCAAACTTTTACTAATCTGCAGAGCAGTACCCCATTGCAAGTGGCACCCAGGGCATTTGCCATATGTGCCATACACTGAATAAGCCACTGGGAAGGGTTGAACTCTGGCACAGAGGATCCTAGCATAGGTTGATTCATGTTTACATAAGACATGGTCAGTGTGAAGGTTAATCTAAGAGTTGCAAGTACTTTTAGTGTTAGGGTAAGGGAGGATTGGGGTTAAAGGAAGGATTAGTGTTAAGCTTGAGAAAACAGGAAAGGTTAGTGTGAGGTCTAATGATAGGCTTGGGGCTACTGGAAAAGGTTAGTGTTAGGGTTACGGAAAGGGTTAGTGTAAGAGTTACCAAGAGGGTTTGGTAAGTGTGATGGTTAAATTTGGGATTGCATGCAGGGTAGGTGGGAGTGTTAGGATTACTGGATGGGCTGGTGTTATGCTTATAGAGAGGGTTAGTGTTAGGGCTGATGTTACAGGAAAGGTTAACGTGAGAGTTGGGGTTACAATGAGGGTTACAGGAATTGTTAGTGAGAAGGTCACAGGGAGGGTTGGTGTGAGAGCTAGCTTTAGGGTTACAGGGAGTTTTAGTGTTAGGGATTGGTTTACAGAAAGGGTAAATGTATGAACTAGTGTTTAGGTTACAGGGAGGGTTAGTGTTAGTTTTAGCGTCTCAGCAAGAACTAGTGTGAGGGTTACAGGAAGGGCTGGTGTTAGGGTTACAGGGAGAAGTCTAGTGTTGAGGTGTGTTCACAAGGAAGATTACAGTGATGGTTAGTGTTAGCGTTGCTGATATAAGGAGAGTAATTTAACATAGGGGGATCTTTCTAAATGATCAGAACACAAAGAATTTCATGTGTGTTGGAGGAGGATTACAGAATGTTGAGTTAGAATTTTGCGTATCCCGGTCTCCGTATGCCTGTCTTCTAAGCAGAATGAACCCCTTCTACCTCCCTTTGATGGTGCCATCATATACTTTACTTAGATATACAGTGGCTGGGGTGCTGCACCCGTGACCAGCTATGGCACCAGGCATTTGAGGGCTTGAAGAATTAGTTCAGAGCTGTGCATAAGCACAATGGCAACTGTGACCTTCCTCACGGGAGGCATGCTTTGAATGCAGCATATATGGTGCATGTGCTAATAGGAAGAATGTTAATGACAATGCTGCAGAGAACAACATTGTAGGTTTGATTAAGTATTTAATCCCATTTACTGAACATTTTTAACTTGAGCTTCCTTTTGATGATCAGTTCTATCTGCGGGCTTAGTCCCACTTAAGGATCTAAAGTAAGAGCTTTGTTTGATGGACTTAGAATAATGGCTCATTGCTTTTCTCCTTCAGATTCCAGGGAAAGATTTAATAAAAGACCCGAGGAGGAAACAGTTTGTATCTGTAGAGGTGAAGTCCACCAATGTACTGTGCAACATAGAGAAGGCGGTCCTCCTGACCTTCCACAGTGGATACATCTTCATACAGACGGACAAACCCATCTACACCCCGGGGACTTCAGGTACTTCAGCTGTAGAATGCAGCAGCACAAGTGAAGAAGTCAAACTATCGTTGACCTTAGGAACACCGTTTTATTACTTTACCTCCCCGACTAATAGCTGTGGAGATAAAATACCAGCCGCAGAACGAGAGCATTGTTTTTAAAGGAGAAGTATGAGGTGAGTGCTTTTCACTCACCTCATAGTTCTAGCCGACCTGTGACAATGAGACTGTCACAGGTCGGCTCAGTAGATCGGGAGGTGAGCGAACACATACCGGCGTTTGCTCACCTCTCGATCCTGTCACGGCTCTCTGCCGTGACAGAGGAGGGGCTGGATTCCCCCCTCCTTGCTCCAATCCGCCAGCGCTGACCGGCGGAACGGACGGGGGAGGGTGCGGGTACAGCTGGCTTTGCCTCTAGATAGGCAGAGCCAGCTGTCAGTCAGGCAGCTGGGCGGATCCCAGCACAATTGTCAGGATCCGCTTCAGCTGCGGCGTCTCAGTATACCGCGAGCAGCAGCTTGCGGTATACTGCGGCGTCTCAGTATACCGCGAGCTACAGCTCGCGGTATACTGAGCCTAGGGTGACGGGAGGACGCTAGTTTGTGTCCTCTCGTTACCCTAAGGAGAACTATGGGGAAAAGCCTTAACCCCATAGTTCTCCTTTAATCAGTCGGGCCAGCTCGTAGACTCATGTAATGCTGACCTCTGGACACAAAAGCTTTCTGCTTTGTGTGCACCAAATGCCAAGTAGCAGTCAGGTCATTACTGTGCTCCATATAGCCTGTGCAGAGACCAGAGGTGTGGGAAGACTGGTCCTACTGGGCGTACCTTTTAAATGTATATCCAGAAGGAAAACAAAATGGTAAAAAGACTATACAAGCCCTTTACCTGCAGTGTAATCTATACGGAGATCCAACTGTGTATATGGGGGAAATATGGGGGCTGTCACTGATGACCTCTTCCTTGAAAATCCTAGTTCCCTGTAAGTCATTCAGATGCTTTGGCTTCAATGCCATCTGATTCTCTGACCTGGACCCTTGCTCTCTGGGTGGAAGCGGTGGTCACACTGCAGAGGTCCACTCCTGTTCATGCTCCCTGCTGGATGGAGACCTCTAGCTCTCCAATCACTTTAGGCTCAATGTATAAATCTTAACGCAAGGATTAGGATTTTTTCTAACCATGTGATTGTAATTGTCAATTATCATATGAAAATAACTCACTTTTTTTAGAATAAGGATCCTGGAGCTATTGGCTTTGTGAACTATTATTGTAAGGACTTTTTTTCTGTCTGTTGTTTTATTAGAACTTTTGTAACAAAAAAAGTCTGAAATACAAAGCACTTATCTCAAAGTCCATCACCTTCCAGACATCTGATTGCACTGCGGTCTCCCTTTTGTTTTCTCTAGTTTATTATCGGCTTTATCCTGTAAATTTCAACATGCAGCCTACATCAAAGACTGTGCTAGTAGACATCCTGGTAAGTACTATGTATCCAGTGTACCCTCATTACCCAATGAGAGTGCTCTTAGTGGTCACTGAGACAGTCTTATTGGATGAGGGGTGGAGCTTAACATTACATCTTGTGATGTCTCCTCCTAGGCAGGACTTCGCTTTCATTTACTAACATGTAAAACGGTGTGCAGGTTTATTTTATTCTCTATATTCTATACATATTTGGCTCTTTTAAAATGGATGTTTTTATGTCACTGGTCCCTAGCCAGAGACTCGTGGGCCACACATTGATCTCAAATTCCCATGAATGTTGCTCTTGGTCAGGAATAAGCTCACACTTTGGGGTCTATTCACAAAGCTGCCGAAGGATCTGGCCGTAGCTTCTGCCGATCCTTCGGCTAGCTTCGGCCCCAGGACCCCTTCGGTTCAGGAGAACCGAAGGGGTGCTGTACGGGCTATTCACAATAGCCCGTACAGCTCCCGATCACGGCCGAGCGGCTCAGTCGAGTTGTAAGGCTGATTTCAGCCGATGTACGGCTGAAATCAGCCGTACCAGCCTGAAGTGAATAGCCGAACAGTGTTCGGCTCACTTCACTTCTGATCGGTCATTCACTCGGCTGCCCTCGGCAGCTTTGTGAATAGACCCCTAAAGGTTCTATTTATAAACAATTCGCAGAACCATTCACCATGTGAATCTCTTTGAACATTCTGTGCATATAGCGGCAATAGCACTACATTATGGCCACTAAATGGAGCTGAGGAGCACAGGAAATAAGTACTTATTTGCTATGATTCTCAGCTCCATTTGGTGACCATAATGTGGTATTGTGTATTAATAAATACTTATTTCCAAAGCCCCTCAGTGGCATCTAGTGGCCATAATGTGGTATTACGTATTAATAAATCCTTAGGGGGTTATCCACTTCGGCCGCCTGAGCCCTTTGGTTAAGTGGAAGGGAAGGGCTGCTGTACGGGCTATTCACTATAGCCTGTAGAGCAGCCAAAGGCAGCCGAGCGACTCAGCGGAGCCGAAGGCATATGTTTCAGCTCGACTGAGCCAAAGTGACAGTCGAAGTGTGGAGAAAGGCCGACCTAAGGGCCGACCGATCACACAAATGACAGCTGGCGGGTTCCAGCCATGATCTCACGGCTGGCTCTGCCGAGTTGTAATGACACATCAGTGTCCCCAAATGACCTGGGGATGCTGATCTGTCATTAAACAATAACAACTGGGCTGAGTTGAAGTCCTTCTGCACTTCAGAGGATGACTGAAGCATGACTGAAGGCAGACGAAGTACGCCTGATTTTAGCCGATATACTGATTTTAGTTTAGATATACTTTGACTTTTATAATGTCTGTTTTATGACATATAGTTGCTGCGACAGAGGTGCTGACTCCTGTGGTGGCTTGGGATGCTGTAGTTGGTAACAGTTAAGTGTCCATTTATCCCTATCAGTAAAATTCGACTTGCAACCACTGTTGCTGTTGCGGCTCACAAGATAATGCTGCAGGGAGAGGCACCATGTCATTATGTGACTTCCCTCTTTGTAGCATTCAGGACCACACAGGATTCAATGGACTTGTACGTATGTGTTTCCTGGATAAATGAGCATCAAAGGTGTCACAAGGGCCCAGATAATGGAAATCAAACTACTAACAAGTACTCAACAGACAGTAAAATAGCTTTTAAAGTCCTCACTAACCTCTTCAGCTGTTTGTACTTTGAAGTAATTAATTCTCAAAAATGATCAAACCGCCTGCTGTGTGTTTACATTCAGAGGGCTGGCAGGCTGCCAAGATTCTGCTGCAATAGAAGGTAATAGAGGAAGAGCTAAGATTTCAGAGCCTCTGTCACGTACCTTATGGAGCTTAAGATGACGAGGGCGGCCTCTCTTGCAACTCTAGTCCCAGGTGGCCTGAATATTGATACAGGTGATTTGGGGCACGAGTGTCGGACGATGAGTTTGGTAGCTGCTCTGCTGGGCGACTGTATATAAACGCACAGCAAAGAGGCATGCAGAGAAAAACCGAAGTCAGACAGGCCGGGTTAGCAACGTGCAGGCAAGAAGGTCCAGTAGCAGGAGATGAAATCGTAGTCGTTTGGCAGGCCAGGATCAGCAACATGCAGACAACGCAGGATCAGACAGGAGGCAGAAGAATAGTCAAACGAGCCGGGGTCAGGATACCAGAAGATCAGAACAGTCCAGGAACAAGCCGGGTTCAGCAACGGGAAGGCAAAACAACAGGTTACAGGATCAGGATACAAGGCACACAGCTGGAGAGTACTCAGCAGTGGAGGCATGGAGAGGCTGAGCTTAAGTAGCCCATTTGGCGCCATGATATGTCGGAGGTGCGCACGCTGTGAAGCGCGCCTGCACAGAGGGGAACGGCACGACCCGGCACTGTGGGCCATGTCATGCGCATGCGTGAATACCTTCGCATGGGCTTCCTGACAGCCTCCGTTGTGAAAATGAATTTCTCCACAATGCCTATAACTACAGAGGTCAGGGAGGGTTTATTTTAAGATACGTTTAGCGTTTGTTCAGAATATGTGAATACTTTAGTGTGGATGGTCTGGGCACATGTTCAATTTAGAGTTCAGTAGTGATAAAAGATCTGCACTCAAATTTTTGATTTTTCCTTCAAGAGTTGCTGCTTCCAGGACAGTCATCGTAGTCTTGTAGCTTCGCTACATAGCCACTGTTCAAGTGAGAGATGGAAGAACTATTCACATGGCAAACGTTCAATGTTTTTTATTCATTTCTGTGTTTTAGAATCCGGATGGGGTTGTGGTGAGGAATGAGCAACTCATTTCTGATGCATCGGGAATCATTTCAAAGTCCTATGTACTGACTGACATACCGAGGTAAGGAAGAAGAATCCATGCGAGCAGGGCCGGATTTCCCACAAGGTCAACCAAGCCCGGCCTTGGGGCAGCAGGGAGTAGAGGGGCAGCAAGGGTGTGGAATTCCTGTCTCCCGATGCCCGGGACAAGCAGTTTCGGCCGCCTGGAGGGTAGTTTTCTACATTTAGCCCTGGTTTGGGCAAGCATAGGTAAATGTACAGCGGGGAAGCCGTCACTTGTTTTGTACAAGTGATCCCAGCGATGCTCCCGAGATCACTTGTATGCAGCCTGCAGGTCTGCCATTTTCCATGGGGGG